TTTTCTGCAAGACTCGTGGTCCTGATACTCGAAGCTTAGAAACCAGACTTCCTGCAAGACTCGTGGTCCTGATACTCGAAGTTTAGAAACCAGACTTCCTGCAACACTCGTGGTCCTGATACTCGAAGCTTAGAAACCAGACTTCCTGCAAGACTCGTGGTCCTGATACTCGAAGCTTAGAAACCAGACTCCTGCGAGACTCGTGGTCCTGATACTCGAAGCTTAGAGACCAGACTTCCTGCAAGACTCGTGGTCCTGATACTCGAGTGTTTAGAAACCAGACTTCCTGCAACACTCGTGGTCCTGATACTCGAAACTTAGAAACCAGACTTTCTGCAAGACTCGTGGTCCTGATACTCGAAGCTTAGAAACCAGACTTCCTGCAAGACTCGTGGTCCTGATACTCGAAGCTTAGAAACCAGACTGCTGCGAGACTCGTGGTCCTGATACTCGAAGCTTAGAGACCAGACTTTCTGCAAGACTCGTGGTCCTGATACTCGAAGCTTAGAAACCAGACTTCCTGCAAGACTCGTGGTCCTGATACTCGAAGCTTAAAAACCAGACTTCCTGCAAGACTCGTGGTCCTGATACTCGAAGCTTAGAAACCAGACTTCCTGCAAGACTCGTGGTCCTGATACTCGAAGCTTAGAAACCAGACTCCTGCGAGTCGCGTTGTCCTGATACTCGAAGCTTAGAGACCAGATTTTCTGCAAGACTCGTGGTCCTGATACTCGAAGCTTAGAAACCAGACTTCCTGCAAGACTCGTGGTCCTGATACTCGAAGTTTAGAAACCAGACTTCCTGCAAGACTCGTGGTCCTGATACTCGAAACTTAGAAACCAGACTTCCTGCAAGACTCGTGGTCCTGATACTCGAAGCTTAGAAACCAGACTCCTGCGAGACTCGTGGTCCTGATACTCGAAGCTTAGAGACCAGACTTTCTGCAAGACTCGTGGTCCTGATACTCGAAGCTTAGAAACCAGACTTCCTGCAAGACTCGTGGTCCTGATACTCGAAGCTTAAAAACCAGACTTCCTGCAAGACTCGTGGTCCTGATACTCGAAGCTTAGAAACCAGACTTCCTGCAAGACTCGTGGTCCTGATACTCGAAGCTTAGAAACCAGACTTCCTGCGAGACTCGGGGTCCTGATACTCGAAGCTTAGAAACCAGACTTCTTGCAAGACTCGTGGTCCTGATACTCGAAGCTTAGAAACCAGACTTCCTGCAAGACTCGTGATCCTCATACTCGAAGCTTAGAAACCAGACTTCCTGCAAGACTCGTGGTCCTGATACTCGAAGCTTAAAAACCAGACTTCTTGCAAGACTCGTGGTCCTGATACTAGCAGCTTAGAAACCACTCTTACCACCAGAGATTCTGTTTACCTCAGCTCTTGCTAACTTGAAGGTCCCATCACCTTTTATTAAACTTAACAACCTTTCTCATCGAATTAGGATCAGCGTATCAGATCAAAACTTCCGCCGTCAAATAGAACATTGAACACGCTCTGTGAGGCTCTGAGAGGGGAGAGGAACGGCTTTGTGTCGACACTCCTGTGTGTCGATTACCTTCCCTGTAATGAGACAAAAGCCTCTGTCTTAAGGTGTCCGGAGAGGTAATTTGATATGCACAAAGGGAAAATTATTAATATGCAGAACGATCACACCCTCGACGATATCAAACCAGCTTTATTGACTAGGGTTCAGAGGGTGGGGGAGAAAGGTCGCTGATTGGTCGATTGTTCAGTGAGGTATGGGCATGGGGAGAGTATTGAGAGCTGATTGGTTGAATACTCAGTAATGCAATGGCATGACGAGAGTATTGTGGCCTCATTATGGATTTATTTCGTGACGTTGGCAAGTAAAATCCCTTGGTTAAAAATGGAATAAGTGGACTATTGTGGGTGAGGGTTTTTCAGTGAAGTCTAAAAAGAACTGAGGTTTTAAAATGCTCTAAAAATAATGGGTTTTATTTACAGATCCTTCAAGGTCATGGAGGTAGTTAGGTTAGGTAAGGTTCGCCAGAAAACAGGACAAGTGTTTCCTGACGCGGGTCTTAGTCATACGATGTCCCACAACTGGAGGTTATGGTCATCTGACCGAGACCTTCCGCTATGGAGGTAATAGGAGAGTATACAAGGGACCAAAAAAAAATCAGCTATGTTCAAAATGTGTCAGAAATGTTCCAGAGATTTGTCACTCATATCTAGGTACTCTTCCTCCCTGGTTTTCCTCTTTTGCTTCTCCTCTACACCTTCTCTCCTTGCTTCTCTTCCTTTGCTCCTCTTCTGATGACTGTTCTCCCCTTCAGTAATTAATAAATCCAGGAGGTGCGGATCAATGAGTGAGGGAAGAAGAATCGAGTCTGTCAACAGCCTCAATAACAGACAGGAACTCCAGTTGCTCTCTCACCCCTCTTCCTTTCTCCACTCCCCTTCATCTCCTTCTTCCTGTTCTCTCTGTCCCTTCCTATATTCCCCCACCATCTTCTTCCTTCCCTCCATGTTTTCTCGTTCTTACTCTTTCCTTCTTCCTCCTCTCCTCCGTCTCCTTCCTGTTCTCCTTATCTCTCTTCCTTCTCCTTATCTCCTCCCCTCCTTCCCTCCCACGTTACTTGTATCACTACCTCAACCTTCCTTCTTTGGCATCTATGCTTCCCTCGCTTATTTTACATTTAAGACAACGTAAAAAAATGAAAGCGAGAGACCAAACAAAAGGGGAAACCTAGACCCTCGCTTGATTCGAACAGATCGTAAAGATTCAAAATAGATATATGGTTTGAAAAACAAAGCAAATGTTCGAAATTAATCATAAGAGGACGGGTTCAGAAGGACGGGTTCAGGATGACGAATTCAGGAGGTCGGGTTCAGGAGGACAAGTTCAAGAGGACGGGTTTAGGAGAACGGGTTCAGGAGGACAAGTTCAGGAGGACGGGTTCAGGAGGACAGGTTCAGGAGGACGGGTTTAGGAGAACGGGTTCAGGAGGACGCGTTCAGGAAGACTCATTCAGGAAGACTGGTGGAAGTATTTTGCAGATATAAGGAGAACTTCTCGATCAATATTACTATGAAGAGAAGAGAGAAGAATTGCAGGAGGCACCGACTACTAAATTGGCCTCAATATTACACAATCGAAATATCCAATTTGGGCGTCGCTCCTTTCATGCGATCTGGTGGAGGAAGAGAGGGAGGGAGATGGGAGAGAGAGAGGAGATAAGAAGAGGAAGGAGAGAGGAAAGAAGACGAAGAAGAGAGAGAGAGAGAGAGAGAGAGAGAGGAGAGAGAGAGAGAGAGAGAGCATATCCACCACCACAGTCACCACAACCCCCACAATCATCACAGCAGACGCCACCACCACTACCACCACCACTACCATCACCACCACCACCACAATCAACACAGACACCACCACTACTACCAGCACCAGCATAACCAGCAGGAGCAGCAAAGTAGGGCACTAACTCACATTAATGTTGGAGGGGACCTTGTCTCCTGTTGGAAGCTAATATAATGAAACGAACCATTCCGGTGAGGAAAATACTGAGGGGGAGCAGAAAGAAAATAGGTTGTGGGGAATGGAAGAAAGGAAGAATAAACTGAAGATCAAAATAGGATGTGGGGAGGAGGATGCAAATAGACTGAAAGGAGGGGAAGAGGAAAATGTGGGAGGAGAGGGGGGGAACCAAAGGTACTGTGGGACGGGAGGAGAGAAGCAAAGATACTGTGGGAGGGGAGGAGGGATGCAAAGATAATGTGGGAGGAGAAAAGGGATGCAAAGAAACTGTGGGAGGGGAGGAGGAGGAGGAGCAGGAGGAGGAGGAGGAGGAGGAAAAAGATAATGTCGGAGGAGAGGAGGACGAAAACAATGATACTGTGGGAAGAGAGGAGGAAAGAAAACAAGGGGTTGAGAGGAAACAAGGGAAGGATAGAAGCCTCCCTGGACATCTGGAAGGGAGATAGTACTATCCTAAATTCAATTTACTGCATGGAAGGACAAAAAAAATTCCATTCCCTTTTACTTCTCTCGTTACGTTGCAACACATAGAAGAGTTACCACGCCCTCCCTTCCTTTTTCTCCTCCTCTTCCTCTTCATTTGCTCTTCCTCCTCTTCTTCCTCCTCCTTTTTATTTTCTTCCTCTTTCTCTTCCATTTTCTTCTTATTCATCGATGATTGTCTCCCTCCCTCCTTCCTCCCTTCCTGCCTTCCTTCCTCCCTTCCTTCCTCACTCCATACGGGTATAAGGGTATGTTGGTGGAGATCTTGATCCGAGAAATAGGAGCCACACCAGCTTTGCCCTCGGATGAATCTTGTTTGCCACTCATTCCCCTTTGCACAATTAGAACTTCCCCGTGAATATAATAATAATAATAATAATAATAATAATAATAATAATAATAATAATACGTCTATATTAAAATGATTGTGAGTGATTATTGCCATTTTTATGTTCCTTTTCCCTGGGAGAAGTATGCATGTCAACGCCATCTACTAGCCAGGTTCCTAACACCACCTATAAGCTAGTTTTTTAACTCCACCTGCCAGCCAGGTTTCTAACTCACTGTGTGATTTGTCCGGTAAAATTGAGTTTTGTTTGTGTTTTCCATTCTGCTTTTCGGTTCTTGACCGTGTCCTGGGTCAGTCATCACTTCCTGACCGTGTCCTGGGTCAGTCATCACTTCCTGACCGTGTCCTGGGTCAGTCATCACTTCCTGACCGTGTCCTGGGTCAGTCATCACTTCCTGACCGTGTCCTGGGTCAGTATTACAACCTAGGATTTCAAATGGCCTGTTATCCCAGGTGTAATGGGAGCAAATAAACACAGTAGAAAAAGTTTAGACTTATATTATCCTTCACCAATTATAACAGCAATATGTACACTATGTACAGTGATAAATATAGTGCACTCCACGGTAAGCAAGGCAGAAATAGAAGCCACAAGATAGCAGACCGTGCTTCAACCAGCTCTAGAATGGGAATGACAAGGGCAGACAGGAGACGGTATCCACATAACCTCTGCGATTGTCAATCCCACCTTCTTATTGGCTAGAACCTGGTCACTAGTTGAACGATGGGGCCCCATCATCAACTCTTAGCAACCTGGTTCGCTGGTTGGGGGAGATAGCCTGTAAATGAGGGTGTGTCCATGCGCCGAATAAAGGTTACGTACTCTTTGCATGCCACACCCCCACCCCCGAGAAGGCTCAGGATTAGGCTGCCACCTCCCAGTGGTAACCGTGCCGCCATGGCACCAAATAATGGGACCGCCTATCCTCTCCACCATCCAACTCTTAGATAGAGCTCAGCTTTCCTAGTGACCAAAAGCCAAACCCTAAACTCAGAGTGAGACAGCAGTCAGATAGGCCAACATAGGTCCAAGATACAAGCGGACGGTAGCCCGTATCCCCTCACTAAAAAAACCCCCACATCAGGGGATAAAAAAAAGAGCTTGAAAGGGGGGTTACCACAAATACATCCTAACCTAAATAAAATATTAAACTAGACTCTTGACAAAGAGTCTGCCAACACATTTTCTTTGCCGGCAATATATTTTATTTTTAGGTTGTAGGGCTGCAGCCTGAGCGTCCAACGCATAAGCCTTGTGTTGTGATTCTTCATGGCTTGGAGATAGACTAACGGGTTGTGATCACTGTAGACTGTGACCACCTGCGATGTCTGGCCCACATAAACATCGAAATGCTCCAAAGCCAGTACCAGCGCGAGGGCTTCTTTTTCAATGGTAGAGTAAGCTCTCTGATGTGGCTGGAACTTGGCTGAAAAGTATGCGATTGGCTGCAGCTCCTTGTTCCCGATTTGTAATAGTACCGCCCCAACCCCAGACTCACAAGCATCAACCTGTAATGAAAAAGGTTTGGAGAAGTCTGGAGACAGGAGAATGGGTGCAGAGCACAATAATCTTTTTGCTTTATTAAAAGCAGTGTTACAATCTGACGTCCAATTAAAGGGAACTTTATGACTGGTAAGAGAGGTAAGAGGTTTTTGGGGGCAGTTGGAACTGATGTGACCTACTTTATTGCACCTGAAGCAGACGACAGGCTTGCCCTTTACTCCCTGATGACGTTGCAAGTGGTGTCGTTCTGGCTGGTGCCTCTCTGGATATTGTTGTCGAGATGCTCCATAAGTAGTTTGCCTCTCCGCAGGGGGACCATATGTTGAGAAGCGTGGCTCACCAGGTGACTTGGTTGGATGACGTAGACGCTCTCCCTCCGGCTGGCACTTCATTCTCCAATGTTGTCGATCTCTGCTCACGCCAGACTGTTGAAAAGAGAGACGGGACCGCTCGGACAAGGAGCGGTTCGTTTCGAAGGTATCAGCCAACCTGGCCGCCTCCAATGCAGTGATTAAGTCACGATCCTGCAGAAAGACACGAACCTCTGGTCCCACAGACTCCAGCAGGTTATCAATCAGAATAAGCTGCACCAGCTCCTCAAAGTTTGAGACACCACTCGCTTTATACCAGCTGGTAAAAGCTTTGGTTTGCTGTCTCACAAAGTCCACCAGGGATTGACCAAGCTGCCGCCTGTTCAATTTGAAGGTCTTACGATATTTAGCTGGGATACATGCATATGCTCCCAACACTGTGGTCTTCACTACTTGATAATCAGAGAATTCAGCGTCAGTTAATACCGACGTAAATTCCTGTGCCTTACCCAATAATGCTGTATGAACCAACGCTGCCCAGTGCTGTTCCGGCCACCTCAAGGCTCGAGCCTGATTTTCGAAGCTTTCGAAAAATTGCTCTGGTTCGGCCTCATTGAAGCGGGGAACAAGCTGTACTGCTTTTTGTAAACTGAAATCGTTTACAGAATGCGAAAACTGCCTCCTTTCTCTTTCCCTATCAAATTCTTCCCTTGCGAATGCTCTCTGTTCCCTAGTTTGCTCCAGCGTGATTTTTGCCAGCTCAAGTGCCAACGACGCTGATTCACCTCGAGACAACCCAGCTGCACCATACTGACCATTTTGCTCCGTAGGTGTATCATCTTCCTCATGCGAGAACATAAGAGTTTTTTCCCTAGCTCCCGTAGAGGGAGGAGTTTGATGTGCCATCTCTTCTTCAATAAGTATGTCAGCAATAAGTGAACGCAGTTGCGCAGCTGTGAGTGCGTTTATAGGGAATGCCAATGGAACGAGCAATTTGCCAACAACGCTGTAGGGACAATTTAGGTAGGTTATGCAAAGTATATGCCGACACCAGGCGTCTGACTCGTCTAGGTGGCATAAGTTATTCGCTATGCACAGTACGAATACCCCAACGTAACACGTTAATTTGCAGAACACGCTTAGCTATGCACAGTACGATTGCAGAATACGCATACAAGCAAAGCCGACTGTACACAAGATTGACCGTAGCGAAGCGAGCACACTGAACAAGCTAGTAGCGAGCTGTTGAACGATCACCCAATAGCAAGGCTGATCATAAGCAACTGACACGCAAAATTTGTAAAGCGAAGCGAAACAGCAAGCTACACAATGTTCCTGCTACAAGCTTCACCCTAAGCTCAACCGTTTCTCTAAGTCCAGCTCCCGGACAGGCCCCCAAATATTACAAAAAAGTAATTTTTAAAAGAAGAGATGTTAAGATTTACTCCTTTTGTAATAAAGAGTTCGGGATACATAAATACACACATTAATATAAATTAATCTTTAATCAACTATCTTTGGTCTAGAGGTATTTGAACTATGATATTTGTACATGTTACTATAATAAATTATAATTAGCATCTAACTAAAATAATTAATAACCCTACACAGGGTACAACTCTTGACACTACTGTCACTATATATATATATCTCTATGCTAAAACAATAAATTATAAATAACATTTTTATAATAATAAATTACAATCAACTGCCTCTCACGACACGAAGTCAGTCACACGACACTGTTCAGTGTACACTACAACCAGGCCATCTTCAGTGTCCCACGACACCCTTTTCATCTCAGTGTTCCACTACGGTCCTGTGCATATCTCAGTGTTCCACTCCATCGTACGTTCCTAAGTGTCACACTACGGTCCTGGCCCAGTTCAGTGTAACACTCCAACCTTTTCTTCATGTAATGTCCCACTAAACAGCATCTGACGACTCCGGCCCACAGTTGATCAACGTAGACGGTGAGTCCACAGACATCACCGGTAGTCCAGTAAATCCTCTCCAAAGGCGGTTGACACACCGCTAGCCGAACACCATGCTGCAAGCTCACTGAATCGGCCGTCAAGTAACTGAGGCCAACAGACTCAGTGAGCTGCGGTGAGCGGTTCTTCTAACGCCAGTAGATAGGTACGATTCGGTGGTCAGGTACCTACTGCATAGACATGTACCCTGAGGAGTTCAGGTACTTAATGTTGAAGCAGTAGACGTGTACCCTTCGGTGGTCAGGTACCTACTGCTTAGGTGTGTACAGCGAGGCGCTCAGGTACATAATATTTCTAAAGCCAGTAACGTGTACCCTTCGGTGGTCAGGTACCTACTGCTTAGGTGTGTACAGCGAGGCGCTCTGGTACATACTGTTACTAAAGCCAGTAGACGTGTACCCTTCGGTGGTCAGGTACCTACTGCTTAGGTGTGCACCGTGAGGCACTCAGGCTCTTACTGCTCTAAGGCCGGCTCAGCAGCCCCCACATTGGGTTTGATGACGCACCCAGTGGTACTGCCGGCCGGCAGGTTAACTATTTAACCGCTAGTTTGGCAGGGGCCGCAACACCCCCACCACAAAAGGACCGACACACAAAGATCAATGTAATATGTATCCCGAACCGTCATCCCGGATATGATCGTCCAGAAATCATTCTAGATAATCATTATCATCCCGGACAGGCCCCCATATTACAACCTAGGATTTCAAATGGCCTGTTATCCCAGGTGTAATGGGAGCAAATAAACACAGTAGAAAAAGTTTAGACTTATATTATCCTTCACCAATTATAACAGCAATATGTACACTATGTACAGTGATAAATATAGTGCACTCCACGGTAAGCAAGGCAGAAATAGAAGCCACAAGATAGCAGACCGTGCTTCAACCAGCTCTAGAATGGGAATGACAAGGGCAGACAGGAGAGCGGTATCCACATAACCTCTGCGATTGTCAATCCCACCTTCTTATTGGCTAGAACCTGGTCACTAGTTGAACGATGGGGCCCCATCATCAACTCTTAGCAACCTGGTTCGCTGGTTGGGGGAGATAGCCTGTAAATGAGGGTGTGTCCATGCGCCGAATAAAGGTTACGTACTCTTTGCATGCCACAGTCAGTCATCACTTCCTGACCGTGTCCTGGGTCAGTCATAACTTCTTGACCGTGTCCTGGGTCAGTCATCACTTCCTGACCGTGTCCTGGGTCAGTCATCACTTCTTGACCGTGTCCTGGGTCAGTCATCACTTCTTGACCGTGTCCTGGGTCAGTCATCACTTCTTGACCGTGTCCTGGGTCAGTCACCACTTCTTGACCGTGTCCTGGGTCAGTCATCGCTTCTTGACCGTGCCCTGGGTCAGTCATCACTTCTTGACCGTGTCCTGGGTCAGTCATCACTTTTTGATCGTGTCCTGGGTCAGTCATCACTTCCTGACCGTGTCCTGGGTCAGTCATCACTTCTTGACCGTGTCCTGGGTCAGTCATCACTTTTTGATCGTGTCCTGGGTCAGTCATCACTTCTTGACCGTGTCCTGGGTCAGTCATCAGTTCTTGACTGCGTCCTCGGTTATTCATCACTTCTTGACCGTGTCCTGGGTCAGTCATCACTTCTTGACCGTGTCCTGGGTCAGTCATCAGTTCTTGACTGCGTCCTCGGTTATTCATCACTTCTTGACCGTGTCCTGGGTCAGTCATCACTTCTTGACCGTGTCCTGGGTCAGTCATCATTTCCTGACCGTGTCCTGGGTCAGTCATCACTTTTTGATCGTGTCCTGGGTCAGTCATCACTTCTTGACCGTGTCCTGGGTCAGTCATCACTTCTTGACCGTGTCCTGGGTTATTCATCACTTCTTGACCGTGTCCTGGGTCAGTCATCACTTTTTGACCGTCTCCTGGGTCAGTCATCACTTCTTGACCGTGCCCTAGGTCAGTCATCACTTCTTGACCGTACCCTGGGTCAGTCATCACTTCTTGACCGTGTCCTGGGTTATTCATCACTTCTTGACCGTACCCTGGGTCAGTCATCACTTTTTGACCGTCTCCTGGGTCAGTCATCACTTCTTGACCGTGTCCTGGTTTATTCATCACTTCTTGACCGTACCCTGGGTCAGTCATCACTTTTTGACCGTCTCCTGGGTCAGTCATCACTTCTTGACCGTGTCCTGGTTTATTCATCACTTCTTGACCGTGCCCTGGGTCAGTCATCACTTCTTGACCGTGTCCTGGTTTATTCATCACTTCTTGACCGCGTCCTGGGTCAATCATCACTTCTTGACCGTGCCCTGGGTCAGTCATCACTTCTTGACCGTGCCCTGGTTTATTCATCACTTCTTGACCGTGCCCTGGTTTATTCATCACTTCTTGACCGTGCCCTGGGTCAGTCATCACTTCTTGACCGTGCCCTGGGTCAGTCATCACTTCTTGACCATGCCCTGGGTCAGTCATCACTTCTTGACCCTGCCCTGGGTCAGTCATCACTTCTTGACCGTGTCCTGGTTTATTCATCACTTCTTGACCGTGTCCTGCGTTATTCATCACTTCTTGACCGTGTCCTGCGTTATTCATCACTTCTTGACCGTGTCCTGCGTTATTCATCACATCTTGACCGTGCCCTGGGTCAGTCATCACTTCTTGACCGTGCCCTGGGTCAGTCATCACTTCTTGACCGTGTCCTGGGTCAGTCATCACTTCTTGACCCTGCTCTGGGTCAGTCATCACTTCTTGACCGTGCCCTGGGTCAGTCATCACTTCTTGACCCTGCTCTGGGTCAGTCATCACTTCTTGACCGTGCCCTGGGTCAGTCACCACTTCTTGACCGTGCCCTGGGTCAGTCATCACTTCTTGACCGTGCCCTGGGTCAGCCATCACTTCTTGACCCTGCTCTGGGTCAGTCATCACTTCTTGACCGTGCCCTGGGTCAGTCACCACTTCTTGACCGTGTCCTGAGTCAGTCATCACTTCTTGACCGTGCCCTGGGTCAGTCACCGCTTCTTGACCGTGCCCTGGGTCAGTCATCACTTCTTGACCGTGCCCTGGGTCACCACTTCTTGACCGTGCCCTGGGTCAGTCACCGCTTCTTGACCGTGCCCTGGGTCAGTCACCACTTCTTGACCGTGCCCTGGGTCAGTCATCACTTCTTGACCGTGCCCTGGGTCAGTCATCACTTCTTGACCGTGCCCTGGGTCAGTCACCACTTCTTGACCGTGCCCTGGGTCAGTCATCACTTCTTGACCGTGCCCTGGGTCAGTCATCACTTCTTGACCGTGTCCTGAGTCAGTCATCACTTCTTGACCGTGCCCTGGGTCAGTCATCACTTCTTGACCGTGCCCTGGGTCAGTCACCACTTCTTGACCGTGCCCTGGGTCAGTCACCACTTCTTGACCGTGTCCTGAGTCAGTCATCACTTCTTGATCGTGCCTAATTATTAGTTATGGCCTTGCAGTGAGGAAACTACAGTATTCAGCACTTTATATAAACCAGGTACCTCAGTGCAAGATCCTTCTCATTATAAACCCACCACTCTTACCATCGCTCTTTTGTAACCACTTTGAATACTTAGTCAACACTGCCTCGTTTGGTACTTAGAGACCCAAAACTGTTTTTTCTCTAAGTTTTATCTTGGAAACAATCATTGCATCACTGATCCCCCCTTTTCCGAGTCTTTTCTAACACGCTATAGGTCGCGTGACCAACTGGACCACTTCATAGGTTTTCAAGTTTTGTATTGGTAAAACAATTTCCATAATCGTCACGAGATGCTTTATCATTCCACAGTCAATTTTGTACAGGTACGGCTTTCTTATTCCAGTATATGGTACGGTTAAATATCTAAGCCTTCTCTTTGACTGTTAAATGTCACGACAGTCCCATATAAATTCCTCTAAAAGCCACCTGCCTCACTCGACTCAACTTCCTTACAACTTCAGCCCTTTTTATTTGGCGAACTGATAGATTCAACCGTTCTCAAACTTCTTGCAACCCTAATTTTGTTCTAAGCTAGACTACTGGGACCAGGTATAATTGTCAGCTTCCCCAGATGGAAACAAATCTGTGTCATTCATAATCAGGGGTTGTGTTTATCTGGGGGCCTTCTGATCTCCCTGGTCGAGAGGCTGCATTCAGA